CCATTCATTGCTTTCAGCTGGGCCATTAAAAATATATCTTGTTCGGATCTAGAGAGGGCTTGAAACGCTTCACGTAACTCGGCAAACTTTGCTCTCGGAATCTTTTTTGAGCAACCACAGTTGCAACCTATCTCCAAGAAACGTATTGCTTTTTCAAATTCGGTAGAACCATTATAATTGTAATTTTCCATATACGGGTAATCCTATATATATTTTAATTTTTATGATATAGGGGTTTGTTTCGCAATATAATTTAGATTTCAAGCAAAGATTCTGCAATATGCAGTTTATTCACAAATTTTGTTATAATAACACAAAATAATAATGCCTACTATTATGCCACAGACTAAAACACCGTAACAATAACTGTCAATTGTTCATTGAACGTCTGCGGGTTCATTGTAAGACAATTACGTATAAATATTTGCGTATTCAAGTGTGAACACATCCGTCATACCGTACCATTAAACTGAAAAAGTCTTTTAAAAGAGAAAACGTTGTATAGAATGACACATAATATTACATATCTTTATTTTGCGCTAGTAATCCCGTGAGACACATCACGCTAGGAGTACTCTTATAAGACAAAATACATACGATTGAACATACACATAACGGAATTGATTCACACTTTAGTTTTGCCCGCCTCGCAAGTGGTCAAAACTAGATAATGTCCATCAAAGCTTCAGCGTTTCAAAGGTGTTTGGTCTATTACTGTTGCACATCTTTATCGTCTTGAAGTTTCTATCATGCCAAATGTGCATAACGTTGAGGCCATCTGCTGCCTGCTCATTGCTCTGCCAATGAGGGTTTGAAAGAGTATCATCCGCACGGGTAAAATTAATGACCCAAACTTCAACTCCAGCCGCTCCGGCTTCAGAAAAACTCTTTGAATATTCAAGTGACTGGGTAAAATGTTCATCAAGTTCTTTATCAGTTCCTGTGGCTAAAAGTTCAAGTATAACCACTGGCTGGTTATGTATAGAAGGTGATACAATGACTATATCACAATATTGGTGCTGAGTATGCTGAGTATCATCATCATCATCATCCGTTGTTGATGTTAGATGCCACTGGCTGGTGACCTCATATGAGTATTGCCGGAGCCAGCCCACCAAGACCCTATTCAACTCCATATCATATGTGCTTTCTCGAGGGACAGCGGTATTTCTAACATCTCCTACAGGGACTTTTGCCATCTTAAACGAACGATCGGGTGCTTGACAAATAATAGCTTGATTGAAGAATTTCAAAGCATGTTTTAAGGTTTCTACTATTGTTAGTATGTTAGCTGAATTTTTGGGGGGAGGCAATGTTGGGAAGTTTTTATCAAATTCGGGAAGGCTGCGGCGTCGAATTATCATGTCAATGTAAGGGGATGATATTTTGAAAGTGTTAGGAATAGTGTCGTTTCCAACAATCTCAAGAACACCTAGGCCTACTAGAAATCCAGCTATTTCACGTTCATGGTCATTTGTGATAACAACAGAGTCTAGAGATCCAAGGAAATAAGTACGGAGTAGGTTCATAGCACCTTCTTTCTTGTGGAGATTTTTTAACATTTCATCGAATGTAGTGTACGTTGGTATTTCATTTTGCAAGTTGATCGCACTATAGAATAACCACTCGGCAAATGTCATATTTGTTTTACCACAATTGCAGTGCCATTTTCTCAGCCAGTTTTCGATTGCACGTCCGCAGAGATTAACGAGACCAGGATGCCTATTATAAAAAAGGAAAATTTTCAATTCCCACAAACCCTTGAATATCAGAGCTTGCCTTACATACCCATTGGAATTTCGGTAGATTGTTTCTATAGCACGGTCTGCAACATGATATCCAATATCTGAATTATCCTCATGGAATTGTTGGAAAAGGCATTTTACATCTTTTTTGGTAAACTTTGGATTAATAAAGGTGTCGGATATGTTGAATGGCGAGTAGTGATGATTGCTTGAGCTCAGTTGCAAGATGTTAAAAGTGCCAATTCCAATTATAGACTGCACAGCATATATGTCGTTGGTCTTGATTCCATGAACTTTGTTCAGGAAAGACATGCATATTGTATTGCTGATAGAAACACTGTCGAATTCGTCTACAAAGATAATGAGAGGATTTTCTGGTACTTGCTGTGCCTGCTCTGCACAAAAATTTCTCACTTCACTCCAAAGGTCATTCGACTTAGCAATAACATTTTGAAGTATCTCAACACTCGTGATGTCAGGTATAAGAATTTTCGATTGGAACATGGTTCCGTTTCTACCAAAGTAACCGTTAAGAGAACAGGTGAAAGCTTGGCCAAAAGATCTCCAGAAGGTCTCCTCATCATGCAAAGTGAGATCATGTAATGTTATGCTGCCAAGCAAAAGATGTTTGGATAAGGCAAATAATAAATCAAACAATGAATAAGATTAATAAAATTCTTACTAGACGCAGACATAACCATATTTATGCAGCTGCTCCATGGCTCGCCACGTTCGAGTAGATTTGCCTGAGGCGCGGGGCCCATGCATTAATAT